AAGGACCGTAGTCGGCAGTATTCTGGGAGAATTGTGGGCATCAGGTGGTGGCCTAGTGGAGCTCAAGGCCTCAAGTAGTGGTCCGGCGGAAGTCTGGGCCTCATGTGATGTTCTGGTGGAGCACACGACCTTTGATGATGATCTGGCGAAGACAAGGGCCTCTGGCAAAGGTGGGGGCCTCTAGTAAAGGTGAAGGCCTTTAACAGAACGTTGGGCCTTCAGCAGAACGTCGGGACTTGAGTAGAATGTCGGGCCTGAACGTTGGGCATGAACGTCGGGCCTTTAGCAGAACGTTGTGCCTTCAGCAGAACGTCGGGTCTTAAGTAGAATGTCGGACCTTAAGCAGGACGTCGAGCCTGAACGTCGAGCCTTGAGGTGGTGGTGCAACGAAGCTCCGGCAGTGGTCCGGCGAGGCTTCGGCGACGGTCTGGCGAGGTTATTGCAGTGGTCCGACGAGGTTCCTGCGGTGGTCCGGCGATGTTCCGGCGGTGGTCCGGCGATGTTCCGGCAGCGGTGGAGGAGCTTCTTCCTTCTGTTCTCTTCTTCTCTTCTTGCTTGGATCCCTCCATTTGTGAAGAATGAGGGCTCTATTTATAGATTTTCTGGAGTAGCATGGCCTGTAAATAGATGAGAGATCAAGGACAAATGAGGAGTGGTTGGATGGACGGCCGATATTGAACCCCTTGATTACGGACCGTTCGTCAGTCATTTGGAAGCCTTAATGATTTTGGAATTCAGTGATCTTGGGCTCATTGGATTCGTCTCGTCGAGCCGTTCGATTCGAGTATAAGCTCGTTAAAATCGGAGATCGTTTGGTAACTTAAATTGTGGTTTGAACCTTCCAACAGCACTTCGGGTCCTTAATTTGGGCCCATTTGGGCTCGGATTGAGTCGAATTTGGTGTCGTTGGATTCATATTTCCGAGACGCTCTGTTCGACTATAAGTTTGCTGAAATCAGAGTTTGGATGGTCTCTGAATTAATTTTTGAAGTTTCCAACTTGATTTTGCACTGAGATTCGCACCCATTTAAGATAATTTTTTGACGACGTATCAATTAGTATATTACATAAAATTTTATTTTTACTTATATTTCTATACTAATGATAACTTATTAATCTAAAAATTATTTGAGTTACCCCTACCAATGAGCTTGAACTTAATTAGCTATTAGAGTTCAAGCTCGAACTCAAGCTTTATTCTCCGAGTTCGAGTCGGCTCATTTATTAAGAAAGAGAGAAAAGGGTTATGATTCAATGAATTATTACAATAAAAAATATCGAAGAAATGAGAAATTAAAAGAAAAAAATGAGGAGTCATTTAATATAAGAAAACAAGACATTTTTTAGAATTTTTTTAGATATTTATAATAATTTTGTACTTAAATTTTAATTGCATATTTATTTTAAATGTATTTTTGTCAACATATTTTAAACGAGCCAGCTCACGAGCTAAGAAATCGAGTAAGGAGTACTGGCTCAAATTTGACTCACGAGTTATTTATCGAACCAAGCCCTGGCCCACTAGTTCAAAGATAAACATGAACCCAAGCAGTTATAAATGGTTAACCAAAGTCTGGGCGTCATAATTTATGCTAAGTAGTTGAATTTGAGCCATGTTAAGGTGATTGGACATGACAACAACTTAAATCCACCCTTTAATTAGACAGACTGAAAATTTTTATGAAAATTAAATTTTTTTAATGAAAATTCAACTTGAAAATAAATGTCGGTCCGATTAAATATCAAAATAAAAATTATATTTTTCTAAAAAATTTTATATTCGTGTTTACATCATATCATTAAATTTTTTGGATTATTAAAAAATTATTCTTTATAAAATATATATTTTCATGGTTCTTCACATTTTGCTATAAATTAAGAAAACGAAATTCCAAAATAAATTAGATCAAAAATTTTGAAAGATATAAGCCTTTTCTTTCCTTTTAAAGAGATGTCATTCTTCTTAAACAAATTTTAAATTTTAGTAGTTTTATGCATTAGTGATATAAATCTTATATGATTTATATACAAAAAAATTAACCTTGTTAAAATGTTTGAATTTGCTTTTTAAAATCGATTTTGGTACTATCTAAATTTTATTCTCAATAAATTTTTAGTTAGAACATTCATCTAAAAATTTATAAATATTCTACATTTCAATGAGGATAATTACGTCCGGCCTTATGTAGTATCCTAATATAAGGTTGAAATGAAAAATAAATAAATAAATCTATTTCTTTCCATAAATCTATAAATATGCTATATTTTCACACATTTGAGGAGGCTAAGATGAGGATACAAGAAGGATTCCATAGAAGAAAATTTGAAAATCTATTTCCAAGCAACTGACACCAGTAGTCAGCACTGTTGTCAGTTGTCGTTCTAAAAAGCCAATATATGTAATCAACACTAACATCGACAACCGCAATCTCCAACAAGTATGATACATATCATTGACAACAATATCATCGTCCGCTATCACCATCGACATCAATGTCAATGCCCACTATCACAAACAAGGCTAATATCCATTATCAACATCAACGTTGATACCAATCGATACTAACACTAATGCACGACTTTGCTTGGTGGCATCAACTTGTTCAAAACTCACTATTGAAAATAAGGTCAATTGACACAATATAAAAACCCACAATTGTCAACAAGGTTAATGATTGTCGTTGACACAAACTAGCATGAATGATGCTACCTGTTGACACTCGTCATCACCCATAAGGCTGATGCTTGTCTTTTATACCAACACTGATGTCTGGCCTCAACATTAACCTTAGTATTAGAGCATTAAGCATTACAATTAGATTAGCTTAATTACTCTGTTAAAAGCATACCAATTATAAAGCTACACATGTACATTCTTGTATGGCCAACTTCTATATATATGCTCCTGTAACAATGATTAGGATAATAAGATTTCACTTTCTTCTTCATCTGTCTCTCACCTTGTCCGTGCTTCCTCTCTCAAGATCTCAAGATTCCACATGGTTTATATGAAGCAGCCCAAAGGTTTCGAGGATTCCCTTCATCCGCATCATGTTTGCCATCTGCGGAAAGCCATATATGGCCTGCACCAGGCCCCTCGACAATGGTACACCACATTCTCCAACTACCTCCTCAAACTCGTCTTCCAACACAGCAAGTCTGATCCATCCCTGTTAACGCTGTGCACGGGTACCTCCAAAATCTTTCTTCTAGTCTACGTTGATGGCATACTCGTCACCGGCAATGACGAGGCAGCAATCACCGTCTTTCTCAACAAACTCCACAATACCTTCGCCCTCAAACACCTAGGTGATGCAAATCACTTTCTCGGCATCAAAATTCAAAAACACCAAGATACGTATTTCTTATCTCAATACACATATGCTTCCTCCATCATTCAGCAGTCCAAACTAACACATTGCAACTCTGCAGCTAATCCGTCCTGCACCAAGCTCCCAACAGACGTTCCAATCGACCCCAATCTGGATGATCCATCTCTGTACCGGAAGCTCACTGGCGCGCTGCAGTATCTCACCATCACCAGGCCGGACATCGCCTACGCAGTCAACAACCTATCTCAGCATATGCACGACCCACAGCCTATTCACCTTCACCTTCTCAAGAAGCTGCTCCGTTACATCAAAGGAACATCACACTTCGGTCTTCCCATTTCCAAATCGGATCTTTGCTTACGAACGTACTCCGACGCCGACTGGGCGAGCAACCCAGTAACCCGCAAATCCACCTCCGGCTACTGTTCGTTTCTCGGCAACACACTCGTGTCATGGGTAGTCAAGAAGCAATCTACTGTGTCTCGCTCGTCAACCGAATCCGAGTATCGCGCTCTCGCCGCCGCCACCGCCGACACCATTTGGCTCAAGCGCTTGCTCGCCGACTTCCACATCGATCACAACCACTACGTCGAGCTACACTGTGACAATACCTCGGCGATCGCCCTCGCAAACAACCCAGTGTTCCACGCAAGAACAAAGCACATCGAGATCGATTACCGATTTCTACGGGAGAATCTCAACAACAATCACATACGTCTTCTTCCTATCAAGACAGTAGATCAGCTCGTAGATCTATTGATGAAACCTCTGTCCACACCCCGCTTCAAAATGCTCCGGGACAAACTCACGATCATTCCTGACCCATTCGTTTGCGGGGGATATTAGAGCATTAAGCATTATAATTAGATTAGCTTAATTACTCTGTTAAAAGCATACCAATTATAAAGCTACACGTGTACATTCTTGTATGGCCAACTTCTATATATATGCTCCTGTAACAATGATTAGGATAATAAGATTTCACTTTCTTCTTCATCTGTCTCTCACCTTGTCCGGTGCTTCCTCTCTCAAGATCTCAAGATTCCACACTTAGCACCAACTTAGATCTGCCACCCATAATAAGGATGATGGCTATCGACAAGAATGATCATTCTCGTTGTCACTGCCAAGGTCAACATATACTATCAACACTAGCTTGAACATCCATTTTCTCTATTAAGCCCGATGCTCAATTGCTTAGTGATGCGGCCACTTAGCTGAGCTGGCAAACTTTATAATGATGCTCATGTGCCCACTACCTATCTCTAACCGTTTATTCCTTTTTTTGTCATTAGCACCGTACCTTATTACCTTTTAGTAGAATTAGTCTTTTTTAGTAAAGTAATCCTTAGCTGAGAAAGGATTAAAAACTCTGTTTGGAAGCTTAGAAGAAGATAGATGAAATATACTACTGTTCTAGTTATTTTTGCTTAGTGTTACTGTTCCATTGAGCAGGTTTCTCTTAATTGTTTTGAAACGCTGCTTCACATTTGTATCAGAGCCATCTGGGAATGGCGGAAGGCAGCTCTAAAAGAGCTACTGAGGAGGACAAGAACTTGGATGCAGTGTGGGCGGCTCAAGCAAGCTTCACACGGCAACTTGAGGAAATGAGGGCAGACCTATTTCGCCTCTCTACAGAGATGAGGATGGAAATGACTGCATTTCGGGCGTTACTTCTTCCCGCCGGCAGAGGTCGTTTACCGACCCCCATACCACCATTTGCACAGCCTACGGAGACAATACGGCGACATCGACCCGTCAATATCACCAACTTTTCAGATTCAGAGGCCGAGCTTCCATATCGATTGAATCCTGAGCAGACGGATTCGGAAGAGGAGATGCAACAACAAATACCCGTTCCACCCAGGCGGCGATATCGGCAACCCCGGAGGGAACAAGGTGAGTTCAAAGTAAAACTGGATATTCCGTACTTCGATGGACATTTGCATATAGAAGATTATCTGGATTGGGAACGAGCAGTGGAGACCTTTTTCGAATATCTGGAGATCCACCCTGAGAAGCAGGTCAAATATGTAGCCTACCGCTTGAAAGGCGGCGCGAGCGCCTGGTGGTTGCACCTCCTCCATGCTCGCAGGCGAGAGGGGAGAGGACCCGTTCGTAGCTGGATCCGTATGAAACAGCTGTTGAGGGGACATTTCCTACCAACGGACTACGAACAAATGTTGTATCTCCGCTATCAACATTGTGCTCAAGGATCTCGAACCGTGAACGAATACACAGAGGAGTTCTATAGACTCAGTGCCCGTAACAACTTGCAGGAAATCGTGGAGGATCTTCTTCGACGACAACTCATCCAGCATAGCATGAGTCCTTGCGCGGTACCAGCTCTCATAGTGCCAAAGAAAGATGGCCAATGGCGGCTCTGTATTGACAGTAGAGCCATTAACAAGATTACGACGAAGTATCGTTTCCCGGTACCGCGTATCTCCGATTTGTTAGACAAGCTACATGGGTCCGTGGTCTTCTCTAAGTTAGACCTGTGCAGCGGGTATCATCAAGTGCGCATTCGAAGTGGGCACATGAGCATCATTATAAAGTTTGCCAGCTCAGCTAAGTGGCCGCATCACTTAGTCGATAATCTCCCTTCCTATAAGCAAAATAAATGGCTGAACATCAATGATTCGTAGATGGCTGAACCTCAAGGATCCTATTTTTTTTCTATCAAAGTATCGACTACAATTTGTATCTTCTATATTACAACAAATTCTTCTCTAATTATTAGGTACAATTTTTAACAACCTATAACTCTTAGTAATATATTAATTTCAATTAGATCAAGCCCAATAATTTTTCCCTTTCAAATTTTCATGATAAAAAATCTCATTTCTCTTTTCAGCTACTTATTATATATATTTATATTTGTGTAAAATGTGTATAATAAATTCACTATCAAACTTGTAACATAAGTTGCATGTTATTTTCATTTTCCTTGCGTCATATAAAAACTTACATCACATTAAAAAATAAGAAAAATAAAATAAAATAATTTTTATATTCTATAGCAATTAGCAAGAGTCTTTTTTTAATGAAGGGTAGTCTTTTTTAAAAGCAGATCTCTGATAGCTAATTCGTCGGAGTAAAGTGAAAGTTAAAGACAAAAGCCACGTTCCCCAATTAATATCGAAACGGAAGCCTTCGCAGTCAACTTCATCCCTTCCCTTAGATTCACTCATTCCCTGTTCAGCTCCACTATCCACTCTGTATCATTTTATTCATTACAATAATCAAGTCCAAGCCCCCCTCTTTCTCTCCCTTAAATAGATCCATATATAAAGAGAAATACTATATTCCTAAACAAAATAATAATTAAAATAAATATAAATATGGCTTAAAATAGATCATTATATACATATATATAGAGGAAATAATGTAGCAAAACTTTCTATAAATTTCAAGCCCTTTATCTTGCCAAAGCTCTCATTTTTCAAGGCTACAGAGAGAGTAGAAAACAATGGACCTCGCCATAGCCATAGCACTCGCTTTGGCCGCCGCCTCCTTCCTCCCATACTTAGCCTGTATCTTGCTTCTGCGCCGCCGAAGGATGCTCTGCTTCGAGGCAGAAGACATCGAGCTCGGCGTCACCGCTGCTCGGGTCGCCGATGGGCCCGAGTTGGAGTTAGATGGGCTGCCTCCGGTACAAAAAGATGACATCTTTGCACCATCTCCACGACGCTTTACATGGACGGAAGTGGAAACTGCCACCGCCAATTTCACCTCGGATGTGATCGGTAAAGGGGGATTCAGCACAGTGTATTTCGCCCGTCTCAATGACTCCATTGCCGCCAGCATCAAGCTTCATCACAGCAGCGAACGCCTCCACCACGCTTTCCGCTTGGAGCTTGACATCCTCCTCCGCGTCCATCACCCCAACATCGTTCGCCTCCTTGGTTACTGCGACGAACAAGGTATGCACTAGAGCTGGAATTGCAGAGCAGAGAACTTAAAGTAATAAGTTGATTTTAAACCGGCACTTGATCGAACGTCTTATGTGCAGATGACCAAGGCGTTCTGATCTTCGAATTCATCCCTAATGGGAACCTTCACGACAAGCTCCACTCGGGCGCCTGCGCCGGCGACGTACTCCCGTGGGCGCGGCGGACTTCCATCGCTTACCGTCTCGCACAAGCCCTCGAATACCTCCACGACGGCTGTGAGCTCCAGATAATCCATGGCGACATCAAGACCTCCAACATCCTCCTTGACAGCGATCTAAACCCCAAGCTCTGTGACTTCGGCTGCGCACGTATGGGTTTCTCTGCCACCGTCCGGCCGCCAGCGGTGATGACCGGTTCGCCGGGGTACGTCGACCCGCACTACATTCGGACCGGAATGGTCTCCAAGAAGAGCGATGTATACAGCTTCGGAGTGTTTCTTCTAGTGCTGATCACCGGCGCGGAGGCGTTCGATGAAGGGACAGAGCGCCTTTTAACGACAGTTGCTGGTGAAATGCTCCGGGAGGCGACCAACGGTGAAGTGGCGGAGATTGTTGACCGGTATCTCGTCGGAGAGTATGATAAGGGGGAAGTTGCAGTAATGGCGTCCATATCGGCGGTTTGCATTGGGGAGAATCCGAGCCTGCGGCCATCTATGGCAGATATCGTGAGGATAATAGAGGAGAAGGTACCGTCGGCGATCTCGACCGTGGATTGTAAAGCGCGGGTAAAAGTGTAAAATTTTGTAAGAATACTGGCCTTCAATTGGACAATGCTGTAAAAAGTTGGAAATGTTCGCTATTTGGGGGATTTACTCTCTCTCTCTTTAATTTATAATAAGAATTATATATATATATATATATATATATATATATTTGGGAAATATAATTTATTGACCCCAACTGCTTGCTATTGCATGTGAAAAACATTCTCATTATGAAAGAACTATTAGTACATAAAATTTACTGTTTAGGCCGATGAGTCAAAATATGTCTCACAAAATATATATTGTTTATTGGTAATCATTTAAATATTTAATATTATTAGTATTTAATAAGGATGTGTTATTTCAGGTCAATTACTTGAGCAGCAATGAAAATTTCATATTAGGAATTTTTAAAATTGTATCTAAAATCTACGACACACCTATAATAAGTTAAAAGCGTTTGGATTCAAGTCTAAATAGGTTGAAATCAAGCACTTTTGAGTAATATTTAAATTTTCAAGAGGTTGTTATAGGGGTGAAGTATTCGCGGAATTTCGAGTGTTTTGTAGTTGATATGAGCATCTTTATGAGGGAAAGTCTTAAATCGTTTAATTATGAGTCCATTAATGTAATGAGATTTCAAATATATAAAATGAACTAGAACATTGCAACTACTTATTTCTTGCCTTCAATAAGGACCATATTGAGATAATATGTTATGCAATGAAGCCATATTAAGAGTCGTAACAAATTTATTTGCTTGAACTAGGACATCAATTATGGCCTATAATTCATTCAATGTCGCCATTTATGTGAACCATTGAATCTGATCTTCATTACTTGCCAACCAATCAAAGTGTAAGTCACTGGTACATCACTTTTCAATAAGACAACGATAATCATCTATTATCTCAGCCACAACATAATATTCAACGCCTCAAGAACCTATTCTCAACATCATATTGAGACACAACAACTCACATGTAGTCTGCTCAATCGGCATGACAACTATTTATTTCAATCTTTATGAATAATCTGAATATCAATTTATTAGTGAGGTGCAATACCCTGATTGTATCTCAAATGTAGGGTTGATACAAAAGGGGAATGGTAAATAAAGATTTACATCTATTTCGATCACTAACTTGAATTTCGTGTGTCCTAAGAATAGGTAAACATTCCTTAGAATCAACTCGTTGGTCGACTAATCAAACATATTCCCAGTCATGAACTCCCTCAACACTTTTTGCTTACTATTTTAAGATAAAAATGCATCTTGAAGACTATGAGATTATATTTTTACTGAATGATGAGAACCTATATTGATATATGTGTACCTCACTTTAAATGGGATCATTCTTCTCTCTCTTAAGATTTTCTTAGGGCTTCTTTTTATATATTGGTGTTGAAATTATTATCTTTTTGATCTTTTTAAGGGGGTACGGTACGTAAGGACATAGCAATGGCTAGCACTAGAAAGCCCATAAATTCTTTAGTACACTTCTTATTAACCTTAGAAAGGTGATAGATTCATCTAAACCCAAACCTAGGTTAACCCTATGATACATTCATGTTGAAATAATTTGACATGCATTGATAGCTAATAGGTCCAAGATATCATTTGCATTGATTTATTAATGCATATGATAATCTTAATATAGCTCTTTTCACAATATATTGGGATAGGACGAAGTTAATGATTGCTAATATATCACATGATATATGCTCATAATGATTGATATTGCTCACATGAATTGCTACTGTTCATATGATATGAACTGATTTATCTAAATGCTTATATGCATGTTTTTTACTTTTTGTGCATTTAGTGTAATGATAGATTCTGGTGACTTATTGGGTCTCTTCTCATTATATGATTTTTTATAATTTTAGAGAAGGGTAAAGATCCAATAGAGTGAGGATGATCATGATTGAATGTTTGGGCATTTCATCTATATTTTCTTTTTGTTTATTTTATAGTCATGAATATATTAAAATAGAATATTTGAATAATATATTTATGACTAATGTGTATAATTCTTTAGAGATTGAAATATAAATATATTTGTTTTGAAGATAAATGAAATTAAAGATTTATTTACATATAGATGTTTATTAATGGCTCTCATATAGGTGTTTAGAAGATTAAAATAATAATTTTTTCTGAATTAGATTTTGGAGCTTCACACCCGCTATCTACTAACACCAAATTGTCTTGTCCCTCCTCTGGTGGAGAAATTATTCCATGCGGAGTCTAGACGAGAAATTAAGATGCATCCAAACTGTGAGTGTACACAATATGTATAAATTTTATACACAGTTTGGGTCAAACTGTGTACACACTATTTGTACATAGTGTGTACACTCACAGTCTGGACGCATCTTTTCCGTCCAGACTCGGCGTAGAAAAATTTTTCCATTCGGTGACCTTTAACCCATAATTTTTTTTTTTTTTTTTTTTTTTTACAAAAAGTTGTATGCTTTCTAGGAGATGTACAATATTTATATATTTGCATGAATAACGTCATTAATAAGAGTACACGTGTTTGTATGCTTTCCAAGAGAAGTGCTATGGAGAGTTCTTGAAAAGAAAGGAGTCAATTATGCTTATATTCAAATCATTAAAGATATGTATGCAGGAGCTATTACTTGTGTTCAAACACAAGGTGGATTGACCAAGTATTTTCCTGATTTGACTTATGTTAAGAAAGGTAGGGGTAGACCTAAAAAGACTTGGTTAGAAAATATTAGGAATGACCTTTCTTTATTAGATTTAAACGAGAATTTGACTTTTAATAGGACACAATGGAGAAAAAGGATTCATGTAGCCGACCCCACGTAGTAGGATAAAGGCTTGATGTTGTTGTTGTTGTTGCATGAAGAACGTCCGTGCAACATTAAGATAATAAATTTCCCCATAATTGTTGCAAATATTTTAGCATGCCAGTATGAATTTTAAAGTTCCACCAACCAATTTCGACTCTAATTGCGATGGGATATGATGATAATAAAGCTAAATTTAAATTAAATTTTAATTAATTAAAACTTCTTTAGAGTCAACTCCAGCTAATAAAGGTTGCATTTTTTAATAAAATAATAATAATTTAGTACAATATAATTTATAAATTTAAATATTTAAATAGTGCATTAATAAAATTCTTGAAAAATTACAATAATTCAACTGATATTTTATGTAAAAATCTATAATGCTATCGAAATCCTAACAACCTCCCAACGTCAAAAGATTCTTTTTCAAAAAAAAAAAAAATTCTATCCATCAATTTAAGATTTTTATTTTTAATATTTAGGTCAATTATAAAAAGCTCACACACACATCATATACATAAGACTCAAATCTAAGATTTCTTGATTGATAGTCAAAGCTCTCAACCATCCAATATCAGGTTGTGTATTTTGCCTGACTCAGTTGGTTCTAGCAAAACCTGAGCCTTCTGTCTACTCTTTGGACAGACATTATTTTTTTGTTGTTGGTAGAGCTTTGTAATGTTTTTTTGACTTTGCTCGCACTGTTGCGCTCAAGCTGCTCCAAATCAGAGCCCTGCATTAGCTATTCATATCTACACCCACCCATAGGCATCGTGGGTGGGTATGAGTGGGTACTCAACATCAAAGGAAAACCGATTTATATTATTAATTATCATATACATGCAGTATATTATAATAATTCTTACTACACAGTGCGCAACACTGAACCGCATCACGAACATGATAAATTTTGATATGTGGCTTGAAAGTTTGAAGTCAGAAAAAATGACAAAAAACCTCAAGGCCATTATTTTATGGCAGGCTGCATTCAATAAGCTTGGAAAGTGGGTGAGTGTGGGTGGGTGTGACATGCGGAAAGTCACCATAGGTGGGTGTGGGTGGGCAAAGCCTGCCAGCGCAAAGCGTGGGTACCCAATGGGTACCCAACCAGGACCCCATGTAGGGCTCTGCTACCCACTCTTTGGACTGACATTATTTTTTTGCTGTTGGTAGAGCTTTGTAATGTTGTTTGACTTTGCTCCCGCTGTTGGTTGAGCTCTAAGTTTTTGGGGTTCGTTTCGACCTTTTTGTAACCCATTCTTTTAATATATGGGCTAAGCCAAATTTTCCCAAAAAAAAGATGAGCTATGTGGATCTACCCTTTCATTCATTAGCTACTTTTGATGAAAGATTTTGACGAATTGAACATTGTCTTATCTAATTATATTAATCCATATCATTAGTATAAATGTATTTAATACATCTAAGTTATAAAAAAATATATTTTGATTATCTCTTAATTAAAATTATATTTGTTGCGGACAACTAACTACCTGACATCGGACTTCCTTCGGACCACCGACTGATGCCGGAAGGACTTTCTGTCCGACCAAATGTCGACGGACCTATGTCTGACCTCCGTTTGCCACTAGATTTCAACTTTTGACAGTTGATTATTGTAATCTGATCGGACGATTCAGTCAACTGTAATCTACATAAAAACTAGTTGATTCATTTCAACTGATCGAGGGTGACCCTATGATTTTTCCCCTTTTTCAGAATTTTTCACAAAATATCTTGTGTTCTATGTTTGTGTGTTAAATATTCGTATAACATTTAGACATAAAATTCTGACTCTATTGCCGCATAAATTCTAGCATGTAATAAAATTATATTTATCTTAAAAGAGTTAGATGATTATAAAATTACTTATATTTAAATTTAAGTTAAAATATCCTGATTTAAAACTATGAAAAATAATAAATCATAAAATATGCGATGCTAATCTCCTTTAAAAAATAATTTTGTCCTCTAACTGGACCACTGATACTTTCGCTGATCCAAAATTTTCCTCAGTCATATAACTTTCGGTGCCATTAGCGGTGGAGCCAAACTGTACGAGACCCAAGTTTTTTTTTATTTTGCTGGCGGTGGTTTGGCTGTTTTTATTGCGTTGGCAGAGGCTCAGATGGAAATATTTCATAATTGCAGAAGAAAAAAAATTAAATGCTCGGCCATCACTCTGTACAGAATTTATTGTTATTAATAATTATATTATTATTATTATTCTTCTTATTATAGAAATGAAAAAGAATTTGAGTGTTTAAACATAGTTAAATAGAAATAGATTTAGAAAATCACAGAATTTGGAAGACTGAAAGAAAATGTTAAGGGCAAAAGAGGACTCAAGTGATCGAAGAGAGTACTCACTTAAACGTAAAATTATTTTGTGTGTATACAAATGCTGTTAGAAGGCGACTCAGAACGCATTACGTCATTTTTTTGTTGTATACCGCGGTTTTGTACCGCTATATACCAGATGACTTAATGCATTCTGATTCATCGCACAAAATAATTTCTCCGCTTGAATGTATATAATTTGAAAATAAAGAAAATAAAATTTAATTTTTTGCTTAATAGGCCAATGTAAGCTCACGAGTAGTGGGCCCATAGCATCCATATTTTGTCGGCAAAAATAACACCATCTTATTAGAAAAGTGGCAAATTTTGAAATTTGTTAATATATAGAGAGTTGGTCTATTGAGATTTGAGTAGGGGTGTCAACTTTTGACCCGACTCGAAAACCCGATCCGGACTCGACCCGGAAAATCCGGGTTGAACCCGACCCGTTTGATAAACGGGTCGGGTTCGGGTTCGTAGATTTGACCCGTTTGATTAAACAGAACGGGTCGGGTCGGGTTGACCCGCCGACAACTCGTTTAATTTTAAAAATTTTGAAATTTCCCGCCCGGCTACCCGCTGCCCCAGCCCTCGTGCCCGCTGCCCACCTGCCCAGCGCTG